GATGCGAGTATGATACATTCTTTGACATATTGATCTGTTGATCAAGATTTATAAAGACTCGAGGTGTTCCTTTTCTGATCACCATCACAGGTGTCAATAATTATACTATCAACATTCGTTCTTTTAATCTAACGATCTTATTATAATGGTCGTCGCCAATGTCTTGATTGGTCGACTTTTCATTATTCATAATCTGAACACGTCTCAAAACCCTCTGAACCCGACTCGATATCACAATAGTCGACTCTTTTCTGTAAGTTCTCTTGTGCACCTTCTTCGCGCGTGCAAGATGATTGTTGATTCTCAATAATCGGTGACCTCGCACTATTAGTATCCATCACGATATCGTATGGATGGTCCTGGATTGGGATTGATTGTTCATCGGAGGAAGTATCACACGGAATCTCAATAGAATCCGAGTCATTGTAATTTTCATCGCCAACGCGAGATTCGACTTCCGAATCCTCCAAATCGATGTCCAGATCGGAATCTATCCGGGGCAAGTGGTCATCAATCCAAAGGGTTATCTCATCGGCGTCTTGGGTGCATGATTCCTCTACGTTTTTCGCATTTTTTTCCGAGCGACTGATGCCTCTATCTAACAAGTCTATCGTCGCGCCCACGAATTCAATCTCTTTTTCGGACCAAAGATCTGACCACCAAATTGTGTCATCGTCATCCGAAGGAGAGCTCAGGTGACGAGGATCTGATTCCTTTCCAAAGGTGTGTACGTCATCTTTTTGAATAATGCCTCGATCAACAATCACTTCCTGAGAGTTTATGTCTATTACATCAGCTTCGTCTTCTGAAACGTCTTTGTAGCGCCTGATTATGTTAGCCCAGCTTGATTTCAGACGACTCTGACTTTGACCTCTCTCGTATTCTATGAATTCTTCTAAGCTTGGTTTTTTTATCTTTACAGAATTTTTTGGTTTCGTTCTTGTTCTAGTCGCGCTATTCACCTGGTTTCTTTTAAACGAGGACGATCTCGATCTACTTGCACGCGTTATCGGTCTTTGAGGCTTGAACATCGCACCTCTGAAATATTTTCGGGAAGAAAGACACGCTCCCGAACCACACCATAATTTTTTGCGGAGAAATGGTGAGTACGTAGAATTTCCTAAAACTCATCACCGCCTCCGCCAATCAGAATGATTGTCATTCGTTGGTTGCGTAAGATTTCACAAACAGATAGTATGTTCAACG